TCATGATATGTTTGACTTAACCCCCTGTGCTTTAATCATCTGTTATATAACTCATCCCAATTTCTTCCAGAAATATTCCTGTCATATGATTTTTATAATTTAATTTCTTGATGCCCAAGAACATAATAATTTAAAGTAACAAACTTTAAAGGCCAGAACAAATTAAAGTAAACCTGCCTGGGACCAAAATAATTAAAATGTAAACACAGTAATTTATCTTCTTTTTTTCTTTTTTTTTAATTTCTGCTAAATATAGAGTTGCTACAGCTCCATCTGCACAATGTTTGAAACCTTTAAAATAAAAAATACTAATTCTGTTCTTTTAGATATCATCCATTAATCAGATATCCATTAAATAGGGTCTATAACACCAAACTTTAGGTATATTTTATTTATAACATTGTTTCAGCTCCATGTTTTAGCGTTAACTATTAATCTTCAATCACTATCACCTTCAATCCACACTGGGCACTCAATACACGCTCAGTCCTTCGATGCAGTGACCAATCCACTCTACCTCTACTGAAGGTTTTCATTAAGAATTTTTTTTCAAGATCATCAGTTTAATTTAACAGATAACTGATGTTAACAATGTTAACAATGTTGAGGAAAACAATTAGAGGCTGTGTGTAGTATTTGTGTAATATAATCACAAATCTAAACATATGCTGATTAAATTATGCTCACATTTTCAGGTCAAGTCTTATTCCAGAGAAACACTGTTTATCACAGAAGATACCCTAGCTTCTCAAGATGTTGAATGTACAACTCCAGCATGCAGAGATTAGCTATAGTTCAGTATATATTCAAAGTTGCCCAGAAATACAAAAAAAGTTAAAAGATGCAGTGAAACAATCTAGCTAAACCTCTTAATGTACCCCAACTATCTAAGATATTAAATATTGAGCTCAAATATCTAGTTATACCTCTGTATATATCTACACCAACCACAAAACAAATTTAAAAAAAAAAAACTGTAAAGTCAAAGAATGGAACATATCTAGCCACATATTCTTATCTACAGAGAAACACAAAATGTGTTATAAAGGAATGGAAATATCTAGCTAAATCTCAGTATACATACCCATCTGTATAGGAAATTACATGTAGAGGTCAACTATGCCAACATTTAATGCTATCTTGGTATATATTTACCACAGCTGCCCAAGAAATAAAATATAAAGTTAAGAATGGAAACATTTCACAGTGTCTCAGTATATATTCTTAGCTGCCCAGAAACACAAAATGAGTTTAAAAGGATGGAAATATCTAGCTAATTCTCAGTATATATCCTCATTTGTATAATTAATTAAGTGCAGAGTTACAGGATGGTATATCTACAGATATTTCAGAATAAATTCCCATTTGTATAAGAAATAAAATGTGGAGTTACAGGACAGAAATATCTAGCTATAAAGCAGTATAAATCTCTAGCTGCCCAAGAAGTTGGATGTGGAGTTAAAGGATGCAACAAATTTAATTATACAACAGTATATCCCAATCCCCCCCCCCCCTTTTTTTTTTTCCAAAAAAATGACAAGGAAAGTTAGATGTGCATTTGAAATTTGCAAACATCCAACATTATCTCAGTATATATTCCCACCTGCTCAAAATATTAAATGTAGAGTATAAGGATAGGGAAAAATCTAGCTAAATCTCAGTACATATTAATAGCTGCTTACTCACTTCTATTTGGAGTTAAAGAATGGAAATAGATAGCCATACCTCAATATATATCCTCGGCTGCCTAAGAAATTTAAGCTTTAGAGCTCAAAGATATATAATCACATATCAATGTATACTGAAGGGGTGGCACTAACATTTTCAACCCTATCTGTACCCTACAATTATACAGGAAAAAAGGTAATAAAATGAAGACAAACATATCAACGCTACAATGACATAGAATATCATGGTCCAGAACACAGACCTGATCCAAGATGGGTCATTCTGCAACAACTCTTCAGGTTATTGACAGGGCACATGATGACAATAAATATCAAAAGATGGACAGAAAATTGAACGTTGAACTGGATCAGCACTGTAGGAGATAGAAATGTTGGACATTTGTTACCGCTGTTCTCTGAAAAGACCGTCTGCCTCAGGCTCTGAAGGTCACAGGTTTGTATCAGGGAGGCATCGTTCATTTCACAAGTGCTGTTTTTACAGAGATCCATGAGACTGTTGCTAGAGTTAAGGAGATGGTGCTTTACCCAATGCTCTTTGTAGATAGCTAGCTGTTCTGCGAAGAAAGACCAAGCTATAAGAGACAACCCATTGCAATGAAGTTGATCCTCTCTACTTTAGCCCTTGACTTTCTCTGAAAAGAAAATGTCTGCTGATTTGACCTTAAATATACCATTTATAACTGCAAAAGTGAAATAAGTTATTACCTTTATGTTTAAACAAAGTAATGTCTGACTGATCTGAAAAAAACATTACAGACAAACTGCATAGCTGAAAATGTGTCGTAGTGGTGGTACAAACAAGTCAACCTAAATCTTTATAATGGTAACAATACTGAACATTAGTAATTTAGGTGTATAAACATTAGTTAAAAGGGAAGCTCTTTGTGATACATATATTACATGTATTATACCATCTTCAACAAAATTAATTGATTACTCTTTCAGTCCAAAACCAATTTACGATGTGTGAGTCACAGTAAAAAATAATCTATTTTTAGTTCACCTTAAGACGCTTATTTTACTTCAACACTTTCAATCTCAGAGGTGATTATTTCAGAGTAACAATCTTTGAGTCTCAATCAATTTGAACAACACATGATGCTAAAGGTATCAAAGTAACAATTTCAATATAGCTGATCCAAGTAACAGAAGAGTATTACATTAGAAATTAAGAAATGCACACTTTGTATAGAGGTAATATTTAAAAAAAATAATGTTCTATTGGTGCTAAAAGAGTTTATATTTAAAATACTTGAGGTTTTCTGTGCAGTTAGATACCCAATAACTTCTATGGTAGATACTACTATAGAGTGCAAAGTGATAAAGTTATTGAATTATGAGTGATAATTTACTGAATTATGTGGTAATGTGATCAATTGTATCTCTGGCTATCCTCTGAATAACGGTCCCAAATTATTGAGGCCGAAAATATACCCTAACAGGGCCTCAGTCACGTGTCGATTGCGGACTTCCGGGGACTATACTGCCACCGCCAAGAGTATCCCCAACGTCGCTCATGCGGCGTGGATTGGAGCTAAACTAGATGGCTGGGACTCACAAGCAAATAAAACGAAGGAAGCTGCAGGAGATTCGGTAGTTGCTGCTTGTGAGTCCAAGCCATCTAGTTTAGCCCCAATCTACGTCGCGCGAGCGGCGTGGGGGATACTCTGGGCATTGGCAGAAGTTGTCAGAAGTGCGCAATTTAAGTCACCGGAAGTGCGCAACTGACACGTGACTGAGGCCCTGTTAGGGTATATTTTTGGCCTCGATAATTTGGGACCGTTATTCGGAGGATAGCCGTATCTCCCATATCCTTTTTCTACAATAATTTCTAGTATCCATCCCTGAGGTTCTGCCAATACTAGAGTCAATTTGGTGATCTGGTGCTTTTTCAAGATTAGTTCTGGTTAAACTTTTTTAATGCTTTCAATATTTCCTGTATGTGTTGAGAACAGATATCACAGAATTTAAGACATTTCCTTCAATGCTCCATTCCCGTCTACAGCAGCCAGCAGAGGGCACTAGTACCAGCGGCAGTCTGATTACATGTTTGTTACCTTTCCCCATAGCACAGAGTGTCTGCCAGATCCTCTGGGTATTCTTTCTTGCATCTTTCTTTCCAGACTGGTGATCTGTCCACTCTTCTGCATTCTTTGTGTGCTCCCAATAGGTCTTTACTCTGTCTGTACTGTCATGCTTTAATTCACTACCCGGTGCAGCCAATCACTCTGCTTCTTAATGTCCCAACACCCTCACTGCACTTCCTGTATAACAATAGATAATATTAGTATGTTTCACGAATTATTATTTATAAAACAGGGCTTCATTCTGGTTACAGGAAAAGATATGCAGTACCAGTACCTTTTTAGGCATTGATTTGTTTTCAGTGCTATAGTAATAGACACTTTGTGGGGAGTACTGGCACCTATTATTTTTTTTTTCATCACTTAACTTATACTGTAATGCCACAAAAAGAGTTGCATGTCAGCTGAGACAATAACCATTCTGCATAGTTCTGATTTAAATCAGGTACATATGACCAACATTTTGAGTAGCTGATGAATAAAAGGAGAAGACCATGCAAGACAGGACACATCAGTGGACAATAACTAAGTGAACACAACATAAAATATGACTAGGAAGCTGAGTAAAGAAAAAGAAAAGACCAACAAACAGCATCATTATCATCATCCTGTTACCTTATTGTACGTCACATAAGATTTACTGATTTAAGAATTGACATCTTAGCACACCAGGCATACCTATAGGTGCTCCGTCTCCTGCAGAAAATTTCTTAAAGTGTAGATGCTAACTGTTCCTCTGGCACACTGATTATAACTCATCATTATCTTCCTCTCATACATCCCTCCTTGCCCGATTCATACCTAACTCCTCATTCACACATTCATACACATGTTATTTCATCTAACCACCTGCCTTCTATCATTAATTTTTTTTTATAAATGGTCTTCAGAATGTCTCCCTTGTACAGGACAAGTGTTTTTGTAGCTATCACTTCTGTAGCCATAAAATCTGCTCTTTCTTCCTCTCACCCCTATATATACCAAACAGTATATCCATGTGAGTCCCTGTAATGAAACAAACATGTCACATAACATTCGCAGTCTAGCACTCCGTTCCACTCTATCCAGTGCAATCCTTTCAGTACTGTGGAGAGAATCTAGTCAGCAATTTTTTTCAAGATATCAGTTTAATTTAACAGATAACTGATGATACTGAGAGTTAATCAAAATGAAATCAAACATGATGCTAAACTTGGATGAAAACATGGCTGCATTTGCTGAGTCTGTATTAGCCAAATGTGTTGCCATTCCACACAGTCAGATCTTGGGGTATCAAAGATATTGATGTAGAATCTATTTTGTTTAATACCAAGAGTTTGCTCAATAAATTTGCAGAGTTTTGGAGCCAGTTTTTGTATTCTTGTCTGGGCCAACCACTCTAATGCAGCTAAGGGAGATGTTGGTACATGGTTCTTCTGTACCACCAAAGCTCATCAGCTGATCTGGATTGACTTGAACTAAAATATATAATTCTGGTTTCCTTAACTTTTGAGGCAATCAGCTTTGATGCTTCTTGGATGAAATTATCTGGAATCTGTTCACGCTTGAGGTTTGTAGCGATGATGAAATTATCTGGAATCTGTTCACGCTTGATGTTTGAAGCGATGCTAACAGTCGGCATTTTTAACGATCAAGAGAATAAGACAAAATCTGTGTCTGCATCAACTCGCTGTCAGCTTCTCTTTTGGTCTCTCTCATCAACATTTGTCTTAGGGTTTGTCTTGGACACTTTCGTTTCCTCAATCCATCTTTTCTTATTTCAGTGCTTTTTTAGTGATTCTCTTTCCGCTTCTCCACAAGCTGTGCCAAATACATTGCAATCTTCTTTTTCTCATAACTGTTGATTCAAAAAGTTGTCCAGACATTTCTCTTATTTATTTGTCTTTCTTGAATTCAGCTCATTTAATGTTTATCCATTTTCTTATGCATTAGTTTTCTTATGCATGTAACTTCTGTTTCATGTCTTTAGATGTCTTTCAGGTTTTACTAGCATTTGAAATGTTCAATTAACAATTGACATCAAAACACCTGGGACATTCCCATAAGCGCTCCCTCTCCATCTTCGGCAGCTAATGCAGAGTTCAAACTCTGATGGCACTAGTAACAGTCTGTATATCCAATTGAAAACAAACCAAAAACGTTAGAATTAAATATAAATAACAATAACAATTTGGTTCAAGTTTAACTTGAGAGGATCTACTTAATTGCACTGGGTTATCCCACATAGCTATGTCTCTCTTTGCTGAGAGCGTCACATAAACATAAACTCCCTAGCTCCAACAGTGAACCCATGTATCTTGGTGAAAACTGCCCTCGAGAACTGAATGATGTGTCCACAAATAGACTTTCAGAGCACGAGGCAAATCGCTGGACCACTTCGTCACAGAGAACCCTACACCATGGTTTTTTATTTTTTGTATTTTAGACTTGGTTTTTAAAGAAACATACACACATAAACACACGCCCCTTTTGACCAAAGTCTGAATCAGTGAATATTTTGTGTGGGCTCCAAGCATGTCATAAAAGGTGAGCGATCAAGGTTGTTTCCTTTGAAGTTGGAGTGATCTGCATGAGAGGCAAGGAACCAACAGTCTGCCAAAAGAAGTCAGATCTGTTAAACAAATGTGCACAAAAAACTCAAGTTTTAGAACAAGATCAATGTCCAGAAGAGGACAAACAACCAGAACTTTCCACCAGAGTTTACACGCAGTGAATACTAAGAAGAAGAATCATTGAATAAAACAAGAATACTAAACTACAAATATTGTGTTGCGTTTATTTAATTTTTGGTATCCGCTCGACTGCATTTAGCCCTATTATCATATAAATGGACGGAATATTGCAATACTCACAGCTATCTAATTGTTGACATTTTCTAAGCCATTTCGATGAAAATAATCTTTTCATCTTTACTTGCTGGGTAAATGTTTTTTTTAAATATTTTGGAAACAAACTGACACAGTTATAGGGCAGTCATGATAAAATGAAGATAATAGTAACATGAACAAAAAAATATGTTTAAATGAAGACAGAAGTAACATGAACAAATAATATGTTAAAATGAAGATAATTATAACATGAACAATAATATGCTAAAATGGAGATAATAGTAACATGAACAATAATATGGTAATATGAACAATAATATTTTAATAACACCGAGATTATGATAAAAACACATGTGTATATTCACATATGTGTGTGTATGTGTGCCCAAGTACATGTGTAATGAACATAATGCAGTGAACAACAATGAAGAATTAGCCATGTTAGTTCCTTTACTGCACTAATTGTTCTTTATTTTTTTTTAAAACATGATAGTATTTCTGAATTAAATAAGAGATACTCATAAAATGTACTGCCTGATTCTAAATGCATTAAACCTACCTTTTGTATTGCTCATTTTTTGGGGAGTAAAACTGTACTATAATGGTTCTTATGAACACAACATCAAACATAATACAACTTAATCATTGTTAGCTTTCTGCAGTTATAAACAACTTGAACAATCTGAAGTTGTTAACTCACTACACACTACAGTAATGGAAAAAAAAAAGTGTTTTCAACTTCAGCAGCTGACTTTGTGAGGGACTGAATTCTTTGGCAATCCTTTTAGACCCATCCATCCCCTACGATGTTTTAGCGATAAATTTAACAGACACAAATGTAACTAAGCACCTGTCATATTATTCCTTGACCTTGGTCTCAGGTTAAAATCCACATCAAAACAGGAATTCTTCTGGAAGCTACTTTTTCTCTTCCACTTCAGAATTGCCTTCTGAAAGTTTAAAACCCAGTGACTCAAAAATATTCATTAACTGGTGCCTGTGTAGAATAGAGGGAATTAAATGGTATGATAGAATCACTAATGCACAGCTTTGGAAGTGAAATAAACAAGTGCCAGTGGACAAAGAGGTGAAGAAAGAAAATACGCTGGCGTTGGACAGGACACATGATGAGAAAACCTAAGAACAATATAACTAGAACGTCTTTGCACTGGAGCCCAGAGGGGCATTGAAATAGAGGAAGACCAAAATACACATGGAAAAGAGAGCTAGAGAGTGAAGATAAAAAGATGGGGAGAGCTGCATGAGATAGTGAAGGATAGAACAACTTGGAGTGAGTTGGTTGAGGTCCTATGCTCCACTGGCAGTTAGAAAGGCAAAAGAAGAAAAAAAGAAGACTCAAAGAGCTACTATCCAGGTGAGAATCCAATGGCAGCAAATCTCAGAGATGACCCTGTCCAACCACAAAATACAGTTATTTTAGAGCAACTTTGCTTCGGAGGTCACAGGTGAGCACTGTGTGGATTTTTTCTCCGGGGTATGCCAGTGTGTTGGGAAATGAGCAGGCGCACAGATTGGGTGTCTCTACACAACCTGGAGGGATACTGGTGCATGATCAGGCAGAGGTTGTTAAGGCCTTGTGGGAGAATGTGTACAGTTGGGAGGAGCAAATGAGATTCATAACACTGTCATGCCAGGTTCGATCTCAGCAGCAAGCAGTCTGCCAGCATACAGTCTTAGTTGGTTCCAACAGTGGTATTGGGAGCCAACCATTCAGAAAGAAATGGCAAACTACTGAGTGTAAAAGTTGCCTTGACAAACCGCAACAGCAAAAAATGGTGCGGTTGGTTCGGCAATGTCCTGTAAAGGATTTGCAACTAACTAACTTTAACTCTTTCAGTTTAATCAGCTGTTAATTTAACCCTCTCCCACTGCTGCAATGTCCTGTAAAGGATTTGCAACTAACTAACTTTAACTCTTTCAGTTCCATCAGCTGTTAATTTAACCCTCTCCTTCCCAAGAAGCTAAGTTTAAAAGTAAGATCTGAATACGGTGAACAAAGACTCTGTGATACAGGAGCAGTTATAACAAAAATTTAAATATATAGGAACAGTCTGTGATACAGAACAAGAAAACATTAACTTTAGAAGGAGAAAATATGGTGTGTTCTCTGATACTGAAAAAGTTAAGACATAGCATTCTTATGACAAAAAATACTGAAGGGGGAAGGTTTTAGCAAGAGGTGGACAGCAATACAAGTGGAAGGATTACAGCAAGAGATGGACAAACAGCAGTCTCAGACAGTGTGTGACAGGGCAAAAACAGGTTGTAATGGAGACCCACTGCTGCCAACTCTCGTTATAGAGACAGCATTTGGGCAAAAACAGAGGAGTGTAATGGAGACCCACTGCTGCCAACTCTCGTTATAGAGACAGCGTTTGGGCAAAAACAGATAAGTGTACTGGAAACCCACTGCTGCTAACCTTCATGATGGAGACAGCATTTGGGCAAAAACATAGGAGTGCAAAGGAGACCCACTGCTGCCAACCTTCATTATGGAGGCAGCATTTAACTAACTGATTGACTGATTGACTTGTTGAGTGATTGACTGATTGAGCATAAAAGTGACCACTGAGCATCAAGTGCCAATTGGCCTAAAAATTTGAGCCTAGCACAAAAACCCCACCATGGCTTATGAACATGCTCTTTTACTTAACTTTAAATATTTAAAAAATAATTGGAAGAAATCAAACAGAATACCCAAAATATAGTACACAACATTTGTAAACTGTAAAAACATATGAATAAAAGCAAACTAAATTCTTGAGAAGAAGTATTTAATTCAAAGAAAACAGAAGTGCAGTTCTCGGCTGACTTGTATAACAAAATTAATATCACAACCTGCAAAACACCAGACACAAAAATATAAGCAATCAGCATATCTGGGTATTAATTAAGATAACATAACAATTAAAATATCAGACTAACAAGGAAGATCTCAGACATCCCATACAACCCTAAAGAAGTTATAATTAGGGCAGCCGTAATGGCTATACTGGCCAGGTGTAGCCTGCAGTTCTATGTGGGATACCAAACCATGTTTTAAATAAACTACGAACAAAATGGCAACTATCTCAAAACATTTAATTACTTTATGTTCTTACTTGGGAGCCACTATGGCGTAGCAGCTAAGTGCTCACTTGAAGATCTGAAGGTCGGGAATTCAAATCCGAACAGAGTTGTATTTTTTGTAAATGACCCTGGCTCCAAGCTTGACCCAGCCTTAAATGGGTACCATGTAATGTCCTTAGAAATGTCCTGAAATTATGTCCACACACAATCTAACGATAGTGGCCAAAGACACATCTCATTGAATACAGGTTCCACAGGTACGGTCTCGAACCTCTCAAATTCACAAACTGACATAGCTCTCCCGCCAAAGCTTCTTTAAAGCAGAAATTAGGGTTATCTTAGTAACCCCTTTCCCCACCTTGTCGATCATCTTGAGGCAGGCAACGATGTGGAAGTGATTTTTCCAAAACTCTTTGAGTTAGGTTGGTCCCTTCAGACCGTAAAACAATGTTCAAAGAGTGCTTTAGTGTAGAGCTTCCTGAAGTTAAAATTAACTTGCTGGTCCATGGGCTGGAGTAACGGAGTGGTGTTAGGAGGCAGAAACTGGATCTTGATGAACCTAAATTCTTCAGAGAGGTCATCTTGTAGGCCTGGAGGATTCATGTACATATATCACAATATAACACAAGTTTGAGAAAATGTGTGATCACAAGCGACACTACAATGCTACTGGAACAAGTGCTAAACACTGACTGATGTAACA